TCACCGACTCTATAGTGCTGGCAGCCATAGTACACGGAATTTTGAAATAAGCGGTCTTAGACACGCCCACATTATTAGCCAATCAAGATCAAGCATGCATTTGAGATGGCTGCGGCCGGCAATTGACATACAGCGGTAGTCATTCAGACTCGGGAAAACGTGTATTTTGTCGCTAATTTGCCGAATTTGATCGTGATGGTGGTTTGAATAGATTAGCACTTAACTGTATTCAGTTTTTGTGTTGTTTTTTCTAAGGTAAATGATTGATTACTGTTTAAATTCGAATAATTGTAAAGCTATGACGTCACTCTGGTGGTAGAGTGTCCTCCCTTCTCGAACTTCGTTCTCGCCAAGGGGCTTTCGCGCTCAGTCGACAAGCCCCTGTGCGTTAACGGAAGCCCCCCCCCCCTGTTTTAGTGTATCACGTGCGCCATTTCACAATAACATTACCTTGCAAAACATAGTCGCGACTAGTAAATAATTGGAATGTCTAATACGTTTTCAGATGTGACAACTACAGGAAAATTGCCGTGCGTAGTGAGGAAATTTACCACAAAAATGAAGGCTGTTGCAGGGGTATTATAGCGTAAAGCGCAAAGACCTGGGTGGGAGATTGCTATGTCATATGTTGGCTGGTTGGTTGGCGCACCGAGCCACAAGAGGCCGGTAACTAGTAACGGTTCCGGCATCATGATTAGTCCGTCACTTTCTCCTTGCTTGTTCTATTTCCCTTGGTTAACTGGCGTCAGTTCACGTGGCCATAGAGAAGGGGTTTCCTTGTACTTTCGAAAGTTGAGCGGATATAAAACTGTTTCTCTTTTGTTATAAATTTCCACAGGAACAGCGAGAAATGGGTAAGTCTGAGCACGCATAGTGTATTGAAATGGCGTAATGAAGACTTGTTTTTAGAAAACGAATATTATGTTTTTAAATGACGTCACTTAGTCACGTGACTTCCGGCCGTAATTCCAGCCACTTGGAACAATATGGCAATTACTAGTTACCTGCGCCCTACTTGCCATCCACAAAGGACGTCGGGAACCAGTGAAGACGATTACCAGTTACCTGCGTTCTACTTACCATTCGCAAAGGACGTCGGGAACCAGCAAATGTCATATGCGCCTTACTAAGCGATTTTGGCTAAAATGACGCTCCGCCATCTCTTTACACTAGTGTTTATAAACGGAACTTGTTGTTGCTTTTTAGTATTTTAGTGAAATATTAAAGACAGTTTACGCCTATATGAAGGATCTGCGCGTGCAAGGAGTTATTATGAATTGGCACTTCTATTTGTCAACATCAAACATTATGTGGGACACAAAGTGGCTTTGCACTCCGGAAATATAGGTTTATAAATTTTATGTTGGGAATTACAAACATAAAGATGAAAAGTGATATTATATAAATTTTAAACAAATTACACTATATATAAATACGCTTTTAAACTAATTTCATATTGTAAAACGTCTGATTAACGAACATCTGCGCACGCGCAGGCTATATCGTCTGCAAGTCATTTTGACGAAGTGGCTAGTCCATTTATTTTCTTGGTTATATTCACTGTCGTCTGCCAATAGGTAAGTCATTGTATCATTTTTGTAGATCAGCACAACTCAATAAAATGTGTATTTATAGCCTATAGTAATTGTTTGTTGCACGTTTCTTATAGCTGTAAATCGAGCAGTGAAATAGGACGGCTGTACGACAGATTGTTAATAAGTCTCTTCGTTGAACTTTTCACGAACATGTTATCGATAGCGGGCGTTATAGGCGATCAGCTGTATTGTGAATCGTCATGATGTTACCATCGCTAGATTATCTCGCTCGTGTCGTTTGGGTGGGATGGGGATAGTGATACAGTACGGGTAGGACGATGTGTCCCTGAGCCTGACCATTTCCATACCAGTGTATCAACCATAATATTTATACCAAAATAAGAAACCCAATGTCAGCCTGCAAATTTTATATACAATCATCAGAATCATTGAAGGAATCAGAGCTCTAGTTTGTGCAATCTGGTTAAAATAAGATTGAATACGCTTGACAATTTCAAATTGTAATGAAATAAAGTGCATTCCATATGACTTTTTTGCTATATGTAGTATTCACCGGATGAATATAGAGCTTCGCTTTTTTTACCAGCCATCAGAAACCACAAGATTTCAGAATTTTGTGCTTTCAAATGTTTATTTTTATTTTGAAATGTCAAAACCTATGCATTTTGGGTGTAAAATAAATTTGTTAGTATTTTACCCTAAAGCTCACAACCGCATTACGTACTTTAATTCTGTATCCAGCTGCAGCACATGATTAGTATTAAATTCTTAGAAAAATACAGATGTTGGTCAGTAATCTTAAATTAGTCCATTTTAAAGGTTGTATAATATATGAGTAAATACATATTTTCATATAACGACTGCAACACAGATAAACATTGTATTCTTTTCTCGTCTGGTAAAATCATTTATTCCAAAAATATATTCTGTAATATTGGTGAATTTCAATAATTCTGCTTAAAAATCGTACTT